TTACTGAATAGTGAATAAAAGTGAGAAAATCATGACAAAAACCATGGCGTGGAAAGGTTTGGGATCCCCTGGCTAAAATATAAAAAGCATGAAAATTGTAAAGTTTCTGAGAGTATTTCCAAATCTTTTGGATATTTCAGACCATTCTCTGGTAAAATCTTCAAAAGCCATAAAACTTAACCTGTAATTGTGTAAAAGCAGTAAAAATAAAAACACCAGTTCAGTCAAGTCCAACTTTCAGAAATAAGATGAAACTTCAAAATATTTTTACAACCTTTTGCAAAATTTAGCTCCACTATACTATGTAGTGCTTCAAAAGTCACGACACGTTATTCCTGATGGAGTCTGACAGTTTGATGTATTTATCTATGAGTTTATCTAAAGCTGCGGGAGTCATGAATAAAAAAATACATTAAAGAAACAAAAGAATAACGAAGGATGCTGCAGTTCTTATACACTGGCACTCTTAATGGTAATACTGTGTAAGCCTGCTTAAGAAGTCAAATATAATCTTCCACATTTTTACTCGCTAACTTTCAAGGCTCGTAATTTGAATAACGCGATCTCCAACCACGCATCTGCTGTCAGAGATACAGCAGCAGACCTGAGGATCAAAACAGCCGTCACCGCGAGGAGCACAAGGAACGGCTGACAAGCAGGGTCTCGTCAAAAGTTCGCTTCTGCCAGAAAAGTCGCGCTGATGATATACGCACGCCACAAAGAGAACCATTGTTCCTAATCTCCTTGTTACAGTTTATCAGCACCACTTTGATAGCACTCACTCAACACATGCACACATAGCTGCAGAGCTGGGAAAACAWACACCCTTCTGATCTGCCCTCCTCGGGGGGCTTTGTGGGCTCTCTGTTAAACCTCCGTCGATCTAGACGAGAGTCGACCTGGAAACGGAACAAAGGCCCAGATCCTCGCTCTTCGTTTTTATTTAGCAAAGTCTTCTACAATAGACACACTGAGCAAAATCACAAAACACACACACACAGATAAGACTCAGTTTTCTTGTGTTGCCAGAGATTTGTTCTCTTTTTACCAAAGCTGCATTGATCTGATGCCGGAGTCACACAGAGAAGTATGAGTCTAGCTTGAAGCGACGAGCACCACTCTAAACACCATTAACGTTACCCACTGAAGGCTCCACTTCTGTCAATAAAGATTTAACCTGCCCAAGGAATTCAGCCTCTAATTATGCTCAGGCAAATGCCACACGCAGGGATTTAAATTACCTCCTCAAGATTTGCAAGGACAGAGGTTATGTAAATAAAATTGAGGGTGGTGGGAAAACAAAACACAAATAATGGCTTGTGATTCTAATTAACAGAGAGCAAAAAGATGAAATGACTTGAGGCTTGCTAAATTACATTTTCACTGCAAGTGCAAAACATGCAGAAAGCAGCAGAAATATAAGCTGAAAAACTAACAAGTAAGGCTGCTTATTCCAACTGAGTATATTCTCTAAGAAAAATATGAAAATTTGCATGTTAAAATTGTCTGTGAGTGAGGTGGTTCGCTTGAAGCACATTAGCCTTGAGCTTTATTGTAGAACATTTTTTTAATAAATAAATAAAGCTCAAGCACTGACTAAACCAGGGTTCTGCAGCCTGCAGCTTTGGGGCCACATGAGTCTCTTTGGTCCCTCTGCAGCAGCTCTTTGAAGCTTTGACCAAAACTAACGAGATTATTTTGTTATTATCATYAAAAGCTATCTTTAGCAGTTTTGCTGTCAGTTTGTTTCCAACTAGGTGATAAATACTACTAACAAACATGTTGATCATGCTTAAAAAGGAAATATTGTGCTTTGAAATCCTTTTTTTCCACATTTAAATCCTTCCATTGGGGTCTAGATGTAGTGGAACTGCAACGCGTTGGTCTGAATTCCTCCTTACTGTAACTCCACAAGCCCCTCTTTCACCCTTTTTCTGATATCAACTCGTTTTGATGCTGTCTCWTTAAATTCAAACGATGCGCTTCATGCCCCACCCCGCTTCCAGACGAGCTTGTTGTAATTTCATAGAGGCGTTTTCTTCTATATAGCGACACAGAAACATTTATTTACTAACTAAAAGATGAATGAAGGCGATGAAATAGGTTAGTTGTTAAGTTCAGACCTCATATGGTAATTCCATCACAAATAATTTGACAAAACAGTTCATAAAAAGTAATAGAATATAGAGAAAACAGAACGGGTTGAAAAATCTGACCCAAACAGAATATAAAGATATTTTTGCAGCACCAGGAGAAACTAAATTCACATTTTCTGCACTCTTAGACTCCAAGTACACAACAAAATGTAATAAATAACTATAATAGTGGATTTCACATTATTATTGTCCCCTTTAAATATTCCAACTTCTAGCCTTACTGAACCATCTTTATCTCAAATACATCAGGATTTTTTTATTCCTTTAAGAAAAGTTGCTGAGAAGAAACATGGGTTATGATATTCATTAAGAGGGGAAAAACATYTGCCTGCATAGTTCAGTGTTTTAGCTTTGAATAAACTTGGTATGAACTATAGATTTTGTCTTGTTTACATGAAGATGGTATATTCTTGTGCTCTAAAGTGTAAAAATAATAACAAATGTTAAAATTCAATAAATATTTTTAGTTTTTCAATGCCATCCCAAGTGGCCGGAAGAGCCTCCCCTTCAATAACTTAAAGTGGCCCGTGGACCAGCAGTTGATGATCACAYTTTTGGGATATTTAATGGTTTTGGACATATTTTGTTATTGAGCAAATGAGAAGAAATGTCTCTTGACTGTAAAGGCTGCAGACCCCTGGACCAGCCCATGCATTGTTTATGATACTACAGTTATAAGGAAAATGGCGGGCAGAGGATGACACGTAGCCCTGAATAAATGACCTGTGTTAAGGAGGCGTAATTGTCTCTTTACAGCAGCCTCTAAATCTATCCTCGCTTTGCTTTGCTCACCCATCATGCAGACTCTGGTTGCCTAGCAGCCGCTGTCCTCGAGTTGTTTCCTTTTGTTTTGTCTTCTTTTTTTTTTTGACTGATGGGTAACAAAGTCAGCTCTTTTTTATCATTCTGGTAACAGGCAGCACTATCAGTGCTTGTTGCTGCATGGATTTAATAATGAAAGCTGGGAAAGCAGACACCGTGACGCTGGCTTTCATTTGGAGCAGATTTGGAGCTTCAGCGTTTGTTGGCTCTTATCTACCAGCTGTACGCGAGGAACGAGTCGTGCACCTGCGTGTACTCGTGTCTTGACTTACCTGACGCCATCTGCATGTATCCCGCCAGGGTGCAGATCCTCCTCTCACATCCTCCACCAGGCAGGAAGATGGTGATGATGGCCAACAGGGAGCTGACGGCCAGCAGGGCGCAGCCTCCCGAACACAGCACCGCGCTGGTCTGAGGAACACAGAAACAATTGTCCCTTTAACTCTGTGCCCTCAGCTAAGCAGCATTATGATATACGGGTACATTTTCACTGTCAAGCACCCCGCTCCGATTTATCTTATTGTCAAAGATTTGTTGCCAAAAAAAACGTCTGAGTTTTGCTTTGTTTGGCTTTTGTAACATCACAGGCAGCCCCTGCTAACAGGTTAATAGCTCTCTCAGCTGGAAAACAACCTTTCAAGACCAAACAGGAGGGAGCTGTCCCTGTTCATTACATCTTCACTTAATCACACACACATGCTGAGTTAGAGGAGCAAACCCCAGGCAGAAGGTACGATTATCTCCACACACACAACRGATTTATTCACATTTTTAGGAGTTAGTAGGAGCCGTATCTTTTTAATGACCTACTGCCAAAAAAAGGCAAGCAATAATGTAATTATCTGTTTATGAGTGCTCATTTGTCTGTTAGCAAAACATCTCATGAACCACTGGATGGATTGTACTGAAGCTCCCAGAAGGTAATCAATKGATGTACACTGATTAACTTTCAGAGTAAACTCAAATCATAGTTGCCACAACTAATTAACCAAAAGGAAATGTCTGTAACTCTGTCGGTTTTATAAAAGCTGAGCTACAGTTGAGTGTGGTCAAAGCTAAGTCGTCCTCAACATGCACTCAGAAAACTGATCACACAAGAATAACGTCATTTTCAAGATTTGACCAAAACAGCTTTAACTTGTTTTTAAACTTCACACATTCTTAGTCAACGGTGCATTCCTTCAAGGAATTCTAAGTCTGTCATTAATCTGGAACGGGGATTTAATTTAGTCTCGGTTTGACCATCATTTCTGGTTTCATCCTTAGATGGGATGACCAGCCTGAGGTTCATCAATTCAACAACTGATTCTGACTCAACAGTCCTGTGTTACATTGGAC